ATAATGAAAATAATAAAAAAACAATTCATTCTTAATGAAAAATACTTATATATTCCCCTTTGTCCCTGGTACTTTGAGATGGGATGGGTTTTAAACATTTTTCATTTAGAAGAATTTCTAGTACAGCATTGTGACTGCAAAATCGATAAAATATTATAACAAATCATTCGTTATTCAATTAACATGATGTGTTATACTAATGGATGCATAAATAATATTATAAGACTAGTGGTAGCCAGCGACTTCGTCCGCGTTTTCCATTTTTTCTTCGCTCCCAATAGTTGCAGCGTGATGTTATATAGCCTAAAGCCTTCCTCAATAAATGGTCTATTCAACACAAAAATAATTTTTCAATTCGTTCCAGTAGTTCCTGAGATTAGCACGTTCAAACAAACAAACTCTTCAGCTTTATAATATTAGTATAGATGAAATACTAGCCAGAACAATCCTTCTAGCATGATTCAGTATTCACGCGCGATGGCTTATTATTAGCGTATTTCATGTATAACTTTGGTGTTTCTATACCGATTTCTATGATTCTTTTTTACGGAATACTTAATACTGTTAACTTTTTTAATTAGGGATGACTGAGAGTGTTATAAACGTAAGAGTAGACAATAGACAAATACAATCAGAAAGCTTCGAATTGCTAAGCTATCGGCAGTTACACGTGTTATTGTGAGTCAACCATAAAAGATAGACATATGCTGTCGTGGGATATTTTTCATATAATTTTGAGGAGAACATTTCCGTCATACATGATTTCTGGGTAGCTTTAACCATTAAGGTTGCACACGTGACGGAAGCTTAAAAAATGGAGTAACTTCTCCCGTTTTCCCAACATTTCCCTTCACTGCTCTGCTCCTATTGATTGTATCGTGTTGAAAAGTATACTATAACTAGCTCAGGAGTATGAAAAATAATTGTACCAAGTTTCGTTAAAATCCGTCGAGTAGTTTTTGTTTCTATAACGGTTATACAGACAGACAGACAGACAGACAGACAATAATTTTACTGATTGCATTTTTGGCATCAGTATCGATCCCTAATCACTATTAGGGATCGATATATTTTGCAAATATATTTCATGTACAGAATTGACCTCTCTACAGATTTATTATAAGTATAGATGAACATAAAGTTATTTGTATAGAACAGACCTTCTCCACAAGCGGTACCCAATTATGAGTATAACGCTTTTATGCATGTCATCCATCGCTTCATTCATTAAAAATAACCTGTCGCACCAAAGTAGAGATTTTTAAGAGACCATGAGATACCTAATCTCGTTAAGGTATTAATAAATAAGTTGTACACACGGCCACACGACCACACGTCACGTAATCACCACCACCGTAAGCAGGACACGAAGCGCAGTTGATACAAAGTCCATAATGTATAGTCTAACGTGCAGCCGTATGTATAGGTAATGCACAGGCCTAGATCTAGAGGGTCCCAAGACCGCTGATGATTTTAAACTAATTCTAAAATCATGAGTCTAAAATACCAATTTACAGTTAAAAAAGAACAAGCTTTACAAATGTCTTCATACACATTAGGTTACAATGGGACGGATACGCTTCAAAATCCAATTTAAATGAAATGAAAGAAAAATATCCTTCACTGCAAAAATATGAAATACAGCCTCACGGAGCGAAAAAAGTACGAAGATTCTGCCCTGGTTAGAAAAATCGTAGATCCGGGCCTATTATGCATTTGTCAATCTCTGATGGACAGAGTATTCAATTCATTTACTACCATTAGATTATGATATAGGTTTCAAAAGTGTAATACGTAAAATACATTTGGAAAAAAAGTGTTTTCTTACAGCAGACATTTATCGATTATCTCTGATATATTAAGATTAAGGAACTATAAGAAGTCGACAAGAATCTCACTAATGGCGAAACTTCAAAGGTCCCAAACTGAAAGTTGTATTCATTCAATCCTCACATAGCTTGTATCACTCCGTAAACATTAACAAAATGAAAGAGAAAGAATGATAAACTCCAGGGATGAGATAATTGGGATTTCGGGAGACTGGAGATTTATCGCTTAATCACGAAAGCTGTTTCAACGTTAAATTCTATCATATTTAGACGCTTCTGTTTACACTGTGTTTGTATGTAAATTTACGAGAAGCAAAATTGCCGAATATTTTTACGAAACTCTATATCTAGTTCATGTTACTTTTTTGAATATAAAAATCAAAAAAAATCTTTATAGGAAACATTGCAATATGTACCTAACTTAATAAAATTATAATAAAAAAAACTAATTATGAAATTTTTATATTAATTTATGATTGACTATTCAATATGATTGAGTAATAACAAAATGGGTAGATAAAGATCAGGGACATAGATAAAGATTAGGGACAGGGACAGGGACAGTAGATAAGGGACTGCGATCCTGAATACTTATTTTAATAAAGAACAAACAAATGGGACGACCTTATTTTACGAATCAAAACTCACTATATCGTAAATAAATTCTTATTTTATATCTTGAGAATTATACTTTAAATTGAGCATGTTTAAAGTTGAGTACTTAATAATTATTATGTTTCATTAATAATGAAAATATTAAACACAAATCCCGTTTTTGGAGTATTTTCCCTATAGTTTAACATTTAGATATTATTACTACTTAATATAGCAAATACTCAGTTGTTTCGGTCGTATTTTAAAACTTTCGACAAAGAACGTAAGTTTTTCATAAAAAAAAAATGAAGGAAAGATGATAACTATTATTCATCTTTCATTGAACTAAGTTTCGTTTATTTTATCCTGGTAACACTTGTGACAAGTATTTGTGGTTCAGCTTGGGTTCGGCTACGATTACATTTTAGTTTATAGTAAACGTTCGTTTGATAATTGACTTATCAGAATGCAATTTACAGCAACAATCGAAACGGAACTATTATGGAAACGCTATTGATGATCGATCGTTTAACGAATTAGTAGAGTTGACCCCCTGAAAGTGTCTGAAATTATATATTACTAGCTTTCGCCAGCGGCTTCGCCCGCGTGGACCCTAGGGAAATGTTTAGTGGGATAAAAAGTACCCTGTTATCTAAGTCAGCTAACACCCTATCTGTATACCAAATTTCATCAAAATCCGTTCAGTAGTTTCGGCGTGATTGACGTAGGTAAACATCCAAACATCTAAACATCCAAACAAAGAAACTTTCGCATTTATAATATTAATAGGATTTACATGTCCGTTTTGTACTTAGAATTGAAAAAATCAAAGTACTATCCGGAATAAGTAACGTTTACTTTTCCGTGTTTTCACGAACGTAAAAAGTAAAAAGTTTCATAGAACCTAAAAAGTACAGAGTAATACAAATTTCAGCCACCTAATTAATAATTTTGTAACCATCATAACCTAATAAATAATGTATTAGAAACAAACAGCATTGGATTCAGAATCATCTTGTCTATTTTATATAAATAAGGCATACTGTGATATTTTGTAGTATAATTCATATCTGTCAAATAAGCCAAATGGTACGTTTTCCTTGATCAGTGAAGCAATAGATAACCGACATTGTTACATTTTCCTGGTGGATTATGTAATTTTCGTAAGGTAATAAACATATATAGAAAAGAATAACGTATTTAGAAAATAATAGAATTCTAGTCAATCAACCTTAGAGGTAAACTACTTGACATATAAAATAAACTTTAGTAGTATTTATTAAAACGTAATTAGGTACACCGGCTGTTTTGGGTATTGTTCTCACTGTCCAAATTCTCTGTATTTCACGCTTGTTTTGTTAAGTCAACTCTCACCATAAGTATCCAGTTTTAAACATGGGGATACCTCTGCCGTTTATTATTTTATAAATATTTCAAGTTTGAAAAGTAAATTAACACAACTGAGGCTAGTAAACTAGGTTTTAAACATTTTAAAACTTAAACACAAAACTTTTATAATAAACGAATTTTCAAAATATTTTTTAGCTAATCAGGTATCTTACAAGTACTTGACTCGTTTGTTTTTTTAGTCTTCTCGTTAGGTTTCCGGTTGCTCGTTTGAAAGAGCACTCGCTTGATTGGCGAATGATGGCCGATTTGAATTCAACTATATATTTATTTCGTAGATATTAAACATAAAGCGACTTTAAAAAAAGAATAGAAAAAATAAAAAAGCAATATTTAATTTAAAAAATGGTTAAATATTTAAGAAAGTTCTATGATCTGTTAGTCTTGGAAAACTTTCATTTGTACAATCTGACATAGTAGATTTTCTCAATCTTTTCTATAATAATGAATTGGTATGGCTGTATTAAAATTTGTTACGTTTTATCTTACCTATTTTTATATTAATTTCCGTTTTCTGGACAGGCAATTTCTTACATCAATTGTCTTAGTTTAGAGTTCACTGCGAATGATCAAGATTATCTAAAATGCAAAATAGACATTGTAAAGGTGGGTATGAGTAAACCCGCATAAGTTTATTATACAGAAGGCCTATACATCGAGATATACCTGGTTTCTCAATTGAATTTTTTTAAGTTAAGATCGTCTCAATCTAAACTTAAACAAGTTTTCGTTTCTATTTTAGTTTTTTTTAATGATCAGTTGATATCAGTTTGATAAAACTAGGACTTTTTGATTTGCGAAAGTGAAAAAAAGATTAAGATATTGAGAATATACAACTATTGAACACAAAAACACTATAAACGCACACCTGAAATTACCAAGTACATGCAGTGTCTGATTGTTTTTCTCTGAAATTCTTGAGGAAAAAAGACTATATGTTTGTTTTAAAAAGGAAACACTGATCATGACTAAATAGATTTTAGATATTTAGGTAGGTAAACCTATTTTGTTATTAGGTTAAAGCTATTTAAGAAATAAGTTTATAAATCGTTAAACTTCTTTATAAGTAACATTAATATTTTATCCTGTATGCTTACATCAAAATAAACTTTTCAGCGCCGTTATTTTATACATGAAAAATGGCATTAAAAAATAAATATATATACTCACCTCTGTCGTAATTGAAGTCAACGGTCTGCAATCTTTTCGAGTAAGTATCCATCATACCGAGCAAGTATCCATCATAGTCACTAAACAAAACCTTATTAGTCTAAACACTAAACGTCATCACAACACTGACTATCATTTTTATCTAAGTAGGTTACATATGGTATCTCGCAGTGAATTATTTGAGATCGCGAGACGGAGCTTGGTGTGGGCGGGCGGCGTGCATCCCCGTAGCCCGCCTGACTTCAACTGAACATAACATCCTTTCTTTGTGATTGTAAACAAACAGTTCGGAGTCCGGAACTTTCAGTCCTGTCGCGGTTAATGCAGCCACGATCGAGTACAAGCTGACAGCTTTTATCGTTGTGGGAAAAAAGAAAATAACAGAGATACAACTGAAATATTTCCTTGGACATATTGTTTTTGTCCCAAAAAAAACATTGTATTCAAGAGAGCGGGTCTAGGTAACTTTTTTGATATCCATTGCAGATCAAAGTCAAAGTATCTTTATTTAAATTAAAGTTATTTGGATTAGTTTTGAATTGTCCAACATTATTTTCCTGCCGCTTTTTCAGGTATTTTTTTCTGATAATAAGTAATTTTCAAACAACATGGCATTACCAATCAGTACCATAAAAATTTATGAAGTCACTTTCTATTACAATATTAATATAATAAAAAAACAATGGCAACGTAATTTAATTTGCGCTTTATAACGCCCTTTTTCAAAGATCATTACGTCCATTCTAGACACTCAATGTTTAAGGAAATTAAGAGCAATAAATAATATAAATTATATATATACATATGTAATGTTTGTGTTGCATGTTTTATCAGTGTCTAGTTGCGCCTCAATTCTCAGAAGCGTCTGCTGGAAATCAGTGTCGTAGCAAATACTGCTTCGGCTCATTTATCATTTATCTCGTATTTTGCTATGTTATTTGGTATTTTATGCCAAATAAACGCTTTCTATTCTATATTAAATAAGTTAGTAGACAATTCATTTAGTTAGCGGTAAACCCACAAAATAAGTCGAAAGGAAATCGGTGAGTAAAAATGTAGCTGCTTGTTTTGGGTTTATATTACAGATCAGTAGCTAGGTCTGTTATAGTACATTATGATATTAGTGCGTTATGATGGTTATAACATGCGAGGCGGAATATCAACCCGAGCCGAAGGCGACGGCGTAATTGAGACGAGCATGTTATAACCGATACGCACGTATATCGTACGACGTTTTTTAACACATTTGCGAGTAACCAGAAAAAAAAAACATTAAATAAACTCTATCTGTGAATCTACACTGTTTCTTTCCCGCCATTTTAACAGCGCGCTAGTGCTGCCTATTGACTGGCGCCGCGCGGCGATTAGTTCCAAATTTGAATAGCAACAGCGCGCGAAATGGCAAATGATACTGTTATGGAATTTGTATGGTCTATAACTTAACTATTTGCTTTGGTAATACACGCGTTTTTTATGACCCGCTTTACATATTTAAAACCTGTGGAATTACATCAGCTTTACGAGCAAAGGTGTTAAAAATATTAGTAAGGTTTCTTCGAGGTCAATTTTCTCGGTAGAGACTACTGATTCAGACTGATATTTTATCTCTTGATATATATCTTGGAACCTATATTAATACGAATGATGTTTACGGAATACGATCGTATGTATATACTAAATTCAAATATTTTCCATAACAATGCGACCACTAGCAGTGTTATTAATAAACAAGATTAAGGGTTGAAGTACGCTGAGACTGCACTGAGTATTAGTCAAAATGTATATTATTAAACAGAGACTTAGCAAAGATTAACCTATTACGAGTTTCTACAGAAGTAGTATATACTCGTAGAAGGTAGTAGGTTTGCTTAGTCTCTGTATCATATAAATTTGGACCATTATAAAAATTAAATTTTAGCTTAAATTTACTCTGACGCTAAACCTTGTTTAATAGTACTGGTTTAGTACATACTGGTAAAGAAGTCTTAATTTTCTTCCGAAATAAAAAACAAGGATCCAAGTACAAATTTTAAATTTAGAATTATTTATATAAATAAATTTTTCAACTAAGTATTACATTAGACTATCTATTATCGATTTTTGACCGTGGGAGAGCCACGCTTCGGCATGAATGGGCCGGCTCGACCGGAGTGATACCACGGCCTCACAGAAAACCGACGTGAAGCAACGCTTGCGTTGTGTTTCGTCGTGTGAGTGAGGGTACCGGACGCCCAACCCCTCCCTATTCCCTTCCCTCTACCCCTCAATCCTTCCCTCTCTACGATCATATTCGTCCCTCAAAGGCCGGCAGCGCGCTTGTAGCCCCTCTGGTGTTGCAGGTGTCCATGGGCGACGGTCATCACTTACCATCAGGTGATCCGTCTACTCGTCTGCCCCCTATCCCATAAAAAAAAAAGATGTAAAATATCTTTTGTTATTTTTATTGTTACCATCGTGAGTGATTTGTTTTTTATGTTCACAAGTTGTCCTTCCAAAAGCATATCATCGTCGTAACATTTCTGTAAAGTTATTTCTTATTGCAAATAATGCCATGAACATGAGAATGTTTCAAATACAGCGAAAAAATACAAATTTTAATGAAAAAATACTGCTCTAATCTTTTCTTATAGTATACTCAATACCTATACCTATAGTATCAGACATCTAAAGCTACGGTCACAAAGTGATCACTGAAGTATAAGAACTAATACCAAAATATCGATGTCATATCCTTAAATATAAATATTTCTTTCTACCATATTTATGATGCAGGTAATGAAGCATTCCGTTATCCAATATTAAAAGGTGCAAAACTTTAATATTAGTTGGTAGATGTGACATAATATTATGACGTAATCAAAAGTTATTGAAGTAAAAGTGTGTTTCATATAGATAACATTGTTGAAATAACCAGGAAAATAGAAAAAACTAATTTATAATATTTACATCTACACATTAGATAAGATAAGCACATCTCTATAGCTGTATTGGTGCCCGAGCAGATAATATCATGAGATATGAATCCTCCGTTCGAATGTGCGGTGCCTCGATACTGAAAACGTGTTTTCTTAATTCCTTTACCTAAATTTACCTACATGCAGTATTATGTTTGTATACTTCAACGTCCAGGGGGCCAATTCTACTAAATAAATTTTGTTTAAATGGAATCGAAAACGGATCGAAACCGAACGAAACTACAGTTTTTAATAGTTTTCTATTCTAGTAAATGACACAACTCCAGCTAAAATAGAACTGTAATTGTATCGTATGTCACTTTGTAGAATAGGAAAACCATAAAAAACTGTAGTTTCATACGGTTTCGATTCGTTTTCGATTAGATTTAAATAAATTTTATTTAGTAGAATTGGCCCCCTGTTCTGTACTACCTCATAACTCAATCGAATCTTGAGGGTTTATTGCATGGAAATCAAACAGAGACTTCCTGCAAAACGCAGCCAAAAAGTACCAGTAATAAAAAGTATCGTTCAATATATACATAACATATATATCTATCTTGATTTTAATATCTTTTTTTTTCCAGTAAATTGATTCTCTAGACATAACACAATAAGCGCTTAAGTAATATGATAATAATGATTTCTCTCTACAGTTGACCTGCGCTAATCCAAACCCTTTATCCGGCACCCCATATAACTCCTACATGACTGCACCTACTTACACACAAAATATATTTATTACGACAAACCTTTGCCAGTATAAGCTTACACATCAAGACTTCGTGTTATGTAACTTTTGTTACACCTATTATTTTTAAGTACGAAATCTTATGTTCTTACTAATTTATCGAGTATCTACGTATATAAATTGTTGAATTTCAAGGTACTTATATTCATACATCGTTTATTATTAAAAGTAGTTTGTTTGTCAAAATGTGTCAGGTCGTATTGTGCTGCAGATAACCAAAACTAGAATATTGATTATGTCACATTTTTTGATTAAAAGTCAAAATGTAGGTATATATAATATATCACTATGGGTGTCATAAGAAAACTCGGGTGATCTTGAGTTTACGGGCAATGTATAGAGCAATTTCTCTACGTGATCGAATTAGGAATGAGGAGATCCGTAGGAGAACTGACGATACTGACATTGCTCAAAGAATTGCTCAGGTAAAATGGCATTGGGCGGAACACATAGCGAGAAGAACTGATGACCTCTGGGGTGGAAGTGTTCTCAAATGGCGACCACGTACCGGACGACGTTCAGTGGGTAGGCCTCCCACCAGGTGGACCGACGATCTTATAAAGTTTGCGGGAAGTCGCTGATTGAGGGTAGCGCAGGAGCGATCGTCGTGGACGTCTATGGGGGAGGCCTATGCTCAGTGGGCGTCTTACGGCTGATGATGATCATGATATATATAAATAAATAACATACATGATAACTTTTTAAGTGATAAGTAACGTTAATAGATACGAAACGTTTACGAATTATTTATTAATTTCAAAGTGTTTAACATTTTTATATTATTTTAAAAGTATGATAATAATTATATTGTAAGTATATTTCTGATGTTCACTTATAGTAAATCGCTACGGTAATTAAAAGTAGTTTATAGAAACCTTTTTAAATATGCAAAAAATGCAATAAAAATAGATATACGAACTCAATCACTCATAAATAAATGAAAAGTTTATAGTAAGTTTCTTAATTAATAATTATTGTACAATATTAAAATTTATTCATTGATTACAATTTATGTTGTATAAATAAAGTAGTTAGGTAGTTCAAATATCACAACAGGTTTTATTTATTTATTTACACTTCATTGTACAACACACTACAGATATATATATAGAAACAATACAAACATGAAAATCCTAATTGTACAATAGGCGGCCTTAAAGCTATCAGCGATTTCTTCAAGGAACCTTAATTGTGGGAAGAAATCATATGCCCAGTAATAAATAAGCGAGGGCAAGGTGTGCGCATTGCAAAAAAGAATTGAGTAGAAGCACACTAAACTTTAACAATAATATAGTTTCTATTTTTTTTTTTATTAACATTACAGTATTAAACATTTTTATTTATAAATTATATCGTACAATTATAATAAATATATAATATATAAATGAAAATATATTAAAATAAACAATAAATTAATAAGACGCAAGGGTCACTAACAACAGTATTTATCAATGATTCGATATATCAGACAAGAAGTGCTTTACAACTAGGGTCTTGAAAGACACTAACATTTGAGCTCGTCTAATGTTTTCAGGCAAAGAAT